CATGGTGGGGAGGGGAAGGATTTTTCATGGAACAAGTGAGCCCTCCCAGTTGGCTCCCAGGCTCTTGGTGACATCTGTCCCTGTGGGGATCAGCTTTGACCCTGGGGTGCCTGGACATGTTTCCTTCTGGCCTGGATATGTTCCCTGTGGCCTTCAAGACCCCTGCCCTTGGTCCTCCACCAGCTAGAAACAACGACAGCAGTAGCCGCAATGATAATATCCTGTCGCTGGGTGCCCTGGGTGGCAAGGCAGCAGGCAGTACAGAGTGGCATGGGGACCCTGATGGCAGTGAACCCTGAGAGGGGCTGCTGCTCCACTTACTCAGTGCCTTGCCTGGCACCCTCGTCCTTCCCTGGCCCGGGCATCTCCCACCCAGCATTTCTGCTTCAGGTCCAATGCAGTCTCCTGGAATTACCTGTTCAGTGGCCATCTTCTTCTAGGACGATGCTGGGGGTAGGGGTCTCCCTCTTGTCTGGTTCCTTTCAGCACAGGGCAAGTGCTAATGGGGCCACCTGCTGGCTCCCATCACAGCAGCTCCCAGGGTTCCTCCTCTGCACACACCCTGGAGTCTCCCCCAAGGAATCACACCTGGGACATGCACACACAGCATGCCATCTCCATTCATACACACGCGCACACCTGCAGGTGCACACACTCACCCCCCCCACACACAAACACACTCAAATGTGCGATTGACCACACCATGTGCGCACACACAACACACTCACACTTACCCACATACACAATTGTGCGCACACATACCCGCAGATCCGCCCCATTCACAACACACGCCCATGCCCTGGTACCCAGTGCACACCCAGCTTGCCTGTGTACGCGTGCACATGTCGCTCCGCACAGCTGGGCACACTCGCTTGTGCCGGCCCCGCCCCGTGGTCTAGCCGCTCCGGAGCAGACTCCACTATCTGCTGTTTGTCGCCTCTGCTGTCAGTGTTTGCCAAGCGGTTTCCATGGAGACATGAGTCGACTCTGACAGGAACAAATGAGTGTGTGTGTGTGGGGCGGGGGGGGGGGGTTGGATGGTCTCCATCAAGAACACAGACAGAGGTCCCTGCACCCTGAGAAGTTGCTCTGGTATGGCCTGGGAGCTGGTTTAAATCATTCTGTCACTCAACAAGCCTTCATGGAGAGCTATTATGTGTGCCGCTCTGACAGGGCTCAGTCCTATCATGAGGCTGCACTGTTGTCCCCAACAATCCCCCTGGTCTTTCCCCAGGCAGATCAGTGACCCTGAGCACAAGGACCAGCTGCCCACCAGCTCGGAGGTTGGGTCCAGAAGCATGTACCTCTGGGGTACTATAAAGCACCTTCATTCAGCTCGCCACCCCTTCCTAGGTCACCTACACCCTCTCTCCAAAGAAGAGGAGGGGATTGTGACTCAATTTTCAGCCAAGCAGTAGATACATTTATAGGGGGACACCAACACTAGTAAGGTATGCTGACCATGGAATGGTCAACCACTCAAGATCAAAAGGGCAGCATTGACCTAAGGACAAAGTTGAGAAGGGATGGGAAGGAGGGTGGGGTGGAAATAGGAACCACAGGGAGGAAGTGAGTAAGTGATGTTGTAGGGAGGGGATTGTAATTATTGAGATGAAGCAAAATGTTGTCTATAAACCTTCATTCAATTCACAATTACTGTTTCAAAAAAAAAAAGAGAGGAGGACCTCCTTAGTGCTCTGAGATACTATGTAGACATTGAGCTGCAAGTATCCTCTAAGGCCATCTTTTAGTGGAAGTAACAGATTGGCACACACAATAAAGCATGTTGCCCAAGAACACAGAGCTCTATTAACAAACCATCTCTGTGAGACCAAAGTCAGAAATGCCTCTAAAGCAAAGATGAGAAGCTAAGGGGGCAGGGAAACTAGAGCACTGGAAACAGAACCACCAGAAGACAAAGAGAAGGTTGACACATTGTAGAAAATGTAACTGAAACAATTTGTATAGAAACTGCCAAATGGGAACCTAATGTGCAGTGTAAATGTTCACTGAAAACACTGTATGACAGCATTGAAAAAAAAAAAGAGGTGAGGTGTTCCTGGTGGCACAGTGGTTTAAGTGCTTGATGACTGTTCAAACCCATCAGCTGCTCTGCGGAGAAAAGACCTGGAGATCTACTTCCTGTAAAGATAACAGAGTCAAGAAGACCCTCTGAGGTAGTTCTACTCTGTTGAACTGGGTTGCTATGAGTCAGAATCAACTTAACAGCAAACATTACTAGCGGCAAGGTTGGTGGTTTGAGGCCACTCAGAAGCAGCCTGGAAGGCAGGCTTTGTAATCTCAAGGTCACAACCTTGAGGCCCCTCTGGAGCACTTGTGAGTTGGTACTCAGTGACAATTGAGAGGTGACATATCAGTTTTCCCAACTGGAATCAACCATTTGTTTCTTCTCTTGTGTCCTCCAGCTGGAGCCAGGAGTATAGGTTTGGGCAGGACACACAGAGACAGACAGACACAGAAAGACACAGAGCCCGTGTGCACCAACCTAGGGTCGTCTGTACCTGCCAGTCCACCAGCTGACCACAGGTGCACCAGTGAGCCACCAAGATGTAGTCCCAGACTACCTGGCCAATAAGGAGCCCTGGTAGCACAGTAGTAAAAGTATTAGACTATCAAATCCACCAGCCGCTCTGTGGAAGAAAGCTGTAGCATTTGTCAATAAAGATTGAATCTTGGAAACCTTCTGGGGCAACTCTACTCTGTCCAATCAGAATTGTCTTGACGACAGTGTGGTGTTTTGGGCCAGTTGGCCATAGACCCTGTAGAAATAATGTCACTGGACTTGTGTGGCGCTGTAGGATAAGCACTGGACTGCAAACCACAAGGTCTGCAGTTCAAACCCACTAATTGCTCCTCAGAAACCCTACACAGAGTGGCTAATAGAACCAACTGGATGGCACTTAACCTTAAGTCACTGCCCTCTTTCTGGGATCCAAGTCACCAACCTCCCTTAGCACATATTGAAGGCCCTTGACAACTCCATGGCTCCTGGGAACCAGGCCAGACTGTGGGCTGGGGCCTGCCTGGGTTCTGCTGGCAGTGAGCACCGTGGCTGGCCAGCACCAGGGAGCCAGGTATGTGGGAGGGGCTTCCCTCTGAAGGTCCTGGTAAAACGACAAAAACCAAACCTGATGCCATCAAGTCGACTCCTACTCACATGGTACAGCAGTTCAAACCCACTTCATGGCTCTAAGACCAGCGATCTGCTCCCATAAAGATGACAGTTCTGGAGACTTCCAGGGCAACTCTCCTCTGACTGACAGGGTTGTTAGAAGTTGGAATTGACTCAGTGACAGTGGGGTTGTGTGTTTAATACACAATGTTTCCCTGTTTGTCTCCCTCTAGGGTTTTTCTGGGGGGTGAGGGAATTAAGGATTTTTAAAATTTTAATCCAACGCAGGGCAACATGATGACCAGCAGAATGAATGTTACCCGGTTCTACGACATCTTCATGAATGTTGGGCAATTTGTGTCTTTTGCCGGGACTGCTGTGCCCATCCGGAGTCCTGGTGTGATGCTGTGGGCTAATGCACTGGACTGCAAAGTCAGTTTGAATTGCAAGGTCAGCAGTTTGAGCTCACCAGTCGCTCCTCTGAAACCCCATTCAGGGTTGCTATGGGTGGGAACCGATTCGACAGCACTTAACAACTGTGCCCATCCAACTCCTGAAGTGTGTCCCTCGTTTTCCTGACCCTCTGCTTTATCTAGTGAATGAGTTGTCTTTCCAGAGGATGTATCTGAAGGGAGTGATGCGAAGTTCTACCCAAAACCCTCAGAAAGAATAGAGACCCTTGAGACCAATGATTGAGACTCCCACCTTCCAGAGCTGTGAGAATTAATTTCTGTGAAAGTGCTCAGCTGCTAACCACAGGGTGGCCAGTTGGAAGCCACTAGCCACTCCTAGGGAGAAAGACGAGGCAGTCTGCTTCTGTAAAGTTTGAGTCTCAGAAACCTCTCTCTCTTAGGGTCGCTGAGTCACAAGTGGCTTCACAGCAGTGGGTTTGAGTTTGGAGCTCTAGTGGTGCAGCCGTGAAAGCACTTTGGCTGCTAATAGACCAGCAGTTTCAACCCACCAACCACTCTTCAGGAAAAAGGAGTGCCAAGATTTACAGCCTGGAAAACCCTATAGGGCAGTTATACTATCTTATAAACTCGCTGTGAGCAGGAATTTCCTTGAAGGCAGAGGGTTTGGTTTGGTTTATAAGCCACCTGCTCTGAGATCTTTTGTCCTCGAGCCCTAGACACAAAGCAGCGTTTGTGGAATGACTAAAGGACAGAACTGGATAAACTACTGGGGATCACAGATATTAAAGCCAGGGTGTGCTATCCTGCCTGCCTCAGTGCCCCCCGGTTCAGTGGAGTTCCTCCCTCCACATGCCTGCCCCCAAGGCACCTTGTCTTTCTGGAGCACCCAAACCAAGGCTGCACTGGCCGGGAATTGAACCTGGGTCTCCTGTGTAAAAGGCAAGGAGTCTACCACTGAGTCACCTGCCCTGTTAGGAGTTACGAGTGATGCTGGAGAATGTACACACTGGGGCTTGATGTTAGCTGGGACTGAAATGGGGGCATGTGTTGCTGGGAGGGGCCAGAGGTCTGAGTTCACAGGATCTGCATTCTGGGCTGCCTAGAGGGTCTCTGCTCTGTGAAATGGGAGAGATGCACTGGGCTACCTGGGGCTCCACGTGGAGGTATCACAACAGGTGCTCCTGAATGTCATAGCAGGGTCCCTCCCCAGACTCACCTCCAAATCAACAGCGTTCCAGAGAGGCCCTGGGAGAAGGTCCCTTGGGTCAGGGGCCTGCCCGCCTCCTGCCTCTCTTAGTACAAATTGCAGCCAAACACCATTCATTTCAGTAGAAAGAAGTCATTTTTGAATTAGGGATGGGGGGCTTCCTCATGCTGTTCCACCAGCCCCACTTCCCCTCCCTGAGTGGCCGGGCTGGGCTGAAGGGCAGGCTCTGTCTTCGGGGGCTGAAGTCTTAGTAGCAGTCTGCCTCAGGCTCGCTCAGGGTGCCCACTGTGGCCAGCATGTCCTGTAGCAGGGACTGTGGGCTCTGCTCCACGCGGTCACTGCTCTCGGCCAGTGTGGCCCGCAGTCCCTCCAGGTCCAGGGCCTGCAGGACGGCCACTGCAACTTCAGGCACCAGCTCACCCAGCGGCTGGCCCTGCTCACCTGCCTGCCACGCCTGCAGGGCAGCCTCCACATCAGTGGCATCAGGGCCACATCCAGACCCCTGCAGCCCACTGTCGGGGGTAGTCCTGGCCTGCAGCAGCAGCAAGAAATCGCAGGACTTCTGGGCCACGGGCCGGTCACAGTCGAATAAGGCACGGAGAGCAAAGTCCAGGACCTGTGCCCGGCCCAGTGTCCGCAGCACCTCAACCAGGGGGACAGGCTCAGAGACCCTCGGCAGGGTGACTGCATAGGGGCAGTCGGGTGGCCTCAGTGTCTGGGCCAAGAACACATGGGCCAGCTCAAGGCTTTGAACGCGCACCTCCCAGTCAAGGTCCCGGCTCACCACCTGGAACACACTGGCCACAAACTGCTCCGGGTCCTCAGCCATCGCGACATGGCCATCCCTGAGCCACTGCGTGAAGACTTGCATCACGGCCCTCCGGGGAAAGCCCTCTGTATCCACAGATAGCATGTGTAGGAGCTCCCGGAGTAGACGCTTCTAGAAAACGGGGATGTGGGAGAGGTGTCAGTGGGCCTGGCTAGGAATTCACACTGACCTACCGTGAGGCCTGGCAGGGTCTGAGGTTGAAGGTTAACACTGACCTGTCTATATGCGTGCCCTTGAGCAAACTGCTCTTCCAGCTTTAACCTGCTCATCCATGTAATGGGTGAAATGATACAGAGCTGACGGGCGCCTGAGAGCAGGCCAGAGAATGAATACAACACGCCATGCTGTAAGGGACTGAAATCTGCCTCTGCAATTTTCATGTGGCAAAGAGCCCAGGTAATTCTGCGGTTAAGCACTTATCTGCTAACCAACAGGTTGGTGGTTCAAACCCACTAGCCACTCCATGGGAGAAAGCTGTGATAGTCTGTCAGCTTCCATAAAGATACTAGCCTTGGAAATGCTATGGGACAGTTCTCCTCTGTCCTATTAGCTAGCTGAGTTGGGAAAAGGAAACATGGTGGCACAGCAGTTAAGTCCTTTTCTGCTAACCAAAGGGTAGGTGGTTTGAATCCACCAGTAGCTCCCTGATAGACAGATGCGGCAGTCTGCCTGCATAAAAATTGTTGTTGCTAAGTGCTATCGAGTCGGTTCCTACTGTGTAAGGTTTCCAAGGAGCGGTTGGAGGGTTTGAACTGTCGACCTGCAGTTAGCAGTCCAATGCTTAGCCTACAGTGTCACACCAGGACTCTACATTCACCTATGCTGTCATTGCTATTACATACTGTCAAGTCAGCTCTGACTCATAGTGATCCCATATAGGGTTTCCGAGGAGCAGCTGGTAGGTTTGAACCACTGACTTTGCAATTAGCAGTCCAGTGTTTATCTAGAACTCCAGTGCAAAAGGAACTGGTTTTGGAAATTCTGTGCTACAGGGTCGCCGTGAATTGGGATTGACCCAATGACAATGTGTTCTTTTGGCTCTAGTCTGTGGCTGTGAACCAATTGGGGAAGAGGGCTTCCTCGTTATGTGGCCTTATTGGTGTAGGGACTGTTGTAAAGCAATTACATTTGAGCTAGAAAAGGAGCAGATGAGGCACAGAATGAAGAAGTACAAATGTACAGAGGATCGGTGTGCCACATAGAGATCACCTGCGAGCTGAGGACAAGAATCCAAAAGAAACAAAGTACCCCATCTCCCCAACCCCGCGCCACTTAAGAGAGCTGCCCCAAAATGAGCTGCATGCATTTTTGGGTTTCCTGTGCGTACTGAAATGATGTTGACACTAGACAGCAGTCTATGAAGCATCCACAGCATGATTAAAAGTTTGAAATATTGCAAGAAAGACCCACACAGGGCAGAGACAGGCAGTGAGTGCACACTGTTAGAAAACAGCATGACGAAACGAGGTCAGCCTGCACTCAGAGGCTTAGACACCGCTCACCAAATGGTCAGGCCTGTGGGCACCACCACGGGCAACAGGCAGCATTCACGCCCTTCAACACCTACCTGCTGGGCCCCTGGGTGCTCAGGGCTGCTGGGGGTGGCATGCAGCCCCCGGCTGGCCAGATGTCCCACAGCGACCACTGCGCTCGCACGGACATAGCCCTCGGGGTCCTGGAGAAGCTGTTCGGCTAGCTCGGGCACATCTGAGGCCAGGAGGGCTTGTTGGAAGCCAGGATGCCCTGTGGTGGAACAGTCGTGGGTCAGCCGAGCCTCTCGGGAAGGGGTCACACCCCCACAGCCTTCCCCTCTGACACAGGGGCACACTCACCTCCCCATCGTGTGGTCAGCTGGATCAGGAACTCAAGGGACGAGTCCCGTACCTCCCAGCAGGGGCTGCACAGACGTTTTTGCATCACGGGGAATAGCTCTGTGACATCCCAGACACAAGGGAGGTCAGGGTGGCCTCCCCTCAACCCCCATCCCACCTGCCAGCCACCCCAGGGGAGATGGTGTACCTCTGAGGAATGGCTGGGTGTAGAGGTCGGGTTCACAGAAGCTACTGACTTTAGAGGTACTCAGGAACCACTGGACAGTGGCCTGGAAGGCTTTCTTCAGAACCTGGAGGGGGTGCAGAGGGACCCGCTCTGACTGCCCACCCACAGTTTGCCTTCACCTTGTCCCTGAGGTGAAAGATAGGGGAGAGGGTATAGGGAGAAGTGAACACTGGACTTTATTCTCACAAGATGGAAGATTCTGGAAGAGGCAGCATCCTAGACTATGGGGCAGAATGGAAGAAAAAGCAGCTGCTCATATCCCACAACTGTGGTGGTAACGAGATTTCTGCAGCAAGACGCAACAACTTATTCAAGCCATCTTCTTCTAAACACGCAAATAATCCTCCATGCTTTTGTCCAAGCCCCTCCATTGTCTGGCTGGCACCATTAAAGCCAGAACCCACCCAGACTCTGAACCAGCTGTGGGGTTTCAAGAAACATTTATAATCACCTGGACCCTAATCATGGGGCCACCCTGGCCCCATTCCTTTCCCTTATAAACAATTCTCTGTAAGGAGGTTGAGGTCCTTTTCCCATTGTGGAGTTGGGCTCCTTGCTGGAAATCAACTGGCCATGGATGCATTTCTGGATCTCAGTTCTATAACGGCGGTGTAAATATCTATTCTTTTTATTATTTTTTTAATGTCTCTTCTTATGCCAGTACTAGACTGTTTTGATCATGGTAGTTTTGTGATATGGTATGAAGGAGCTTTCAAAAATTTGTGGAAAAATTCCCTTATCTTTTCATTTCATTTTTCTCATGTGCTCTCTGAAGCCCCATTGTGAGTTTTGAAATCTGGACGTGTGAGTCCTCCTACTTTGTTCTTATTTTTTCAAAACTGTTTTAGCTACTTGAGGCTCCATTCCCCAAGTGGTGCAAATGAAGGATGCACTTGGCTGCTAACCCAAAGGTTGGCAGTGTGAACCCACCAGCCGGCTTCAGGTAAGACGTATAGTCTCAGAAGCCTAGGGGGCAGCATTTCTACTCTATGCTGTAAGATTGCTGAGTCAGAATTGACTCCCAAGCACTGGGTTTGGGTTTGGGTTTGGGTTGTCCCATTTCTACAAAGAAGGTTACTGAGATCACACTGAATCTGCAGATCATTTGGGGTTGTGTTGATGGAGAAACCATATGATAAGTACTGGACTGTGAACCCCAAGGTCCACTGTTGGAGCTTGCCAGCTGCTTCTGCAGGAAAAATATGAAGCTTTCTGTTCCCTTGAAGATTTAAAGCCTTGGAAACCCTATACAGGGTCACTATGAGTCGGAAATGACTCCACGGCATCTAACCACCACAACAATAGCCAGCACTTCCCCTATACTCTAACAGACCCCAATGAGGTGCTGCCCTCATTCTCGCTGTGGCCTGAGCCCCTCCCTCAGGATCACATCCTCCCCTCACCCTCTTACCATGGGGCTGGAGCCGGGGCTGCTCAGATACTGCAGGAGGACCTCGAATACTTGTGTCACCAGCTCCCGGGGGCCTGGGACAGATGCAGGTGGTTGAAGACCCCAGCCCTCCACTCATCCCACCCTTCTGAGCAGAGGATGCGTGGCAGGATGAGGAGGGGAGCTCATCCCAGAAAAGGGAATGTCAAGCGGCACACATACCTGTCCCCTGAGAGAGCACCCCTAGGAAGTCCAGGGCCGCGCGCTGGACTCGGACACAGCCAGCCAGGACCCCACAGAGGTGGCGCCCCACATTGGAGACAGGCACCGCCGAGCCATTGCCAAAGCGCAGAGCCGTTACCGTGGCTTGGAGCAGGGCTGCCTGTGGCCAGGGCTGATGCTGGGAGGGAGAGGGCTTAGCAGGAGGCTCTGCAGGGACTTTGGGGTCCACGCTGCCCACCCCTGGTCGGGCCACACCCAACAGCGGCTGCAGCTCCCCCAGGTGGGCCAGGCTCTGGCACAACAGGCTGATGCAGGATGACGTGGAGGCCAGGAGGGTGTCGGATATTGAAGGGCTGCGTTCGATCCCGTCCAGCAGGCCTGGAGGACAACACAGCAGATTTCTTTAACAGCAATTCCTGGGTGGCTGACTCCAGGCATCCACCTGCTTACTGACCACCACCGCCACAGCCCCTTGCTCCAGATCGGGCAGAGGCTCCCAGGGCAGCTTGGCAAGTGGAGCCTACATGGGTCAGAACCTGTGTCCAGAGCCTTGGGAGACATCCCACAAGCATTGAGAAACTTCTGACTCACAGCAACCCTAGAGGAATACCCCCTAGGTAGAGCAGAACTACCCCCTAGGGTTTCCAATGCTGTCATGCTTTATGGGAGCAGACTGCCACATCCTTCTCCCAAGGAGCACCTGGTGGGTTCAAACCACCCACTTCTTAGTTATCAGCCCTATGCTTAACCCACCAGGGCTCCTTCAGGAGAGAAAAGGATGGCCCCTTTGCACTGGGAAGCAATCCACTTGTTCTAGAGACTTCTAGGAGGAGCAGCCCTGAGTCTCCCAGGCTGTGTGGTCCAGAGGTACCTGCTACATCCAATAGAATGCTCCCACTTCCAGGCAAACCTGACCCTTCTCCTAAAGTCCTCAGTTAGAACTGAGAATTCAGGCATTATGGACCCAATATGGCCCCCAGCTTCCTGGGGCTACCTCTGCCAAGACTTGGGCAGGACCTAAGGTTAGCTCTCACAGGGGGCGCCACCCCCAGTGGGGGCAGTAAGACATCACCCACAGGGTTGTCTCTGGGCTGCCTGTGCCATCTTCACTGTCTGAGACAGAGCGGGACTGAAGCAGAAATCGCAGGCTGGGTTCGCGGATGACATCATCCTTCCTGGCACCCGCCAGCTCTACACCCATCCACTCACACCCTCACGCTCTACACCCGCCTCCTTCCTCAGGAGCTGCCTGCTCCATACCTGCCCACTCCACACAGCTCACCTGAAGACCCAGGGGGTTGGGTGGCAGCTTCCAGGATGCAGACCAGTGGCTGAAGGAGGACTCCAAGTGCCTGGGTCTTCAGAGCCTGGGGACTGGGGACATGGGCACATGATCCACTCCTGCCCCCAGCCCCACCCCCACCTGTCACTGCCAGCAGAGCTAGTCGATTCCCACTCATGGTGACCCTATGTAGGGTTCCCAAGACTGCAGAGCTTTATGGGAGCAGGCAGCTTCATCTTTCTCCCGTGGAGCAGCTGGTGGGTTTGAACTGCTGACCTTGAGTGCTAGCAACCCACCATTCAATTCACTGTGCCACCAGGGTGCGGGAGGGATGTCTTAGGTCCTGTACAGTGGTCTTGCCCCTTGTTGGTCATGGGTAGATTGAGGTTTTTCTAGGGCCTTTCTCAAGACCCCCGATGCCTGGCCCTCTGGGGATTGGGTCTTGACACCACATTCACCCTTGCCTTGGGCCCACACCCATGTACTGGTTCACAAGGACACTAGGAAGCTTCTATCAACATCCCTGATCTGCTGACCCCACCCACCCTCACCCCCCTCCCGAACCTACTCTGCTCTGGCCCCCTCCTAGCCACACATCCCTGCATGCACCCCTGCATTTTTGATCCATGAGCTCTGAGGTCCCTAGGGCCAGTTGGAGGGCCTGGCTCGATCCTCATCCCCAAGCTCAGCCATGCATCTCTGTTCATCTCCTTCCTGTCTGGCAGCTCCTTCCAGCTTTCCTTTGAAAAATTATTTCTCCGCTAAAGGAAGTTGAAGGAACCCTGGTGGCACAGTTGTTAGGCTGATAACCTAAAGGACCATGATTGGCACCCACCTAGTGGGAGAAAGACCTAGTGATCTGTAAAGATGTCCCTATTGGCCCTTCTTCTCTCTAAAACTATCAGTCAGAATCAACTTGATGGCATAAGCCAACAAGAGAATGGTTTAGAGGCTGCTGATGTTTACAGCAAGTGTGCAAGGCCTTGTCAGTGCCTCAGACCAGGACCTTGTCTCAGGCGCCCTTAGTGGGCCCCTCCTTTGGCCCCTGGGCCCCACCCCAGCAGCCAATGAAGCAAACACCAATGAAGCCCATACCAGATGTGGAGTTTCAGGATCCCCAGAGCCAATGGTCCAGCCTGCGTGGGGCTTAGACGATTCAGTGTCTGGGCCAATGTCACCCAGAGGTCACAGTCGGAAGAGCCAAACACAGGAGACCTGCAGAGAGAAACCCCAGAAAGACCAGTTCCTGTTAAGTCGACTCTGACTCATGGAGCCCCCATGTGTGTCAGAGGAGAAATATGCTCATTGAGAGGATCACCAGAACTTTCTTCCGAGGAGCCCCTGGGTGGACCTGAACTGCCAACCCAGAGCCTTGTTGGCCCCTAGTCAAGTGGTGGGGTCTTGTCTTTCCATGACCTACAGCCCCAGGTGTGAGACTTCTCCATGACTTACTTCCTGGAGAAAGAGGTTCCAGTACCCCCGCCACCGGGGCCACTCCACCACCTTATCCCAGGACTGACCGTGCCATGCTAAGGAGGAGGTCAGCAAGCGAGTGGCCCGCGGGCACGGGCTCCTTCTCCAAGAGACAGGCCACTGGGGTGCCTAGCCGCATCCAAAGTGTTTGTGTCCAGGGTTGGTGGCAGCGTCCGAAAGTGCTGGTCAGGACGTTCAGTGCCTTCGTGACTTGTGGCGTGGTTCCAGATTGCAGGGAGTTCTCAAGGAAGCCCACAATGCTCCTGGCACACAAGGGCCAGTCGTCATCCAGCATGTTGAGCTGTGGGGTGTCTTGACCTTGTAGGGACAAAGCCAGGACCTGTGCCAGGAGCTGGCTGGCAGCAGAAGCCACAAACAGGCTAGAATCCCCTTGCAGGGCGAAGATGATATCCAGGGCACCTGGGGGTGGGAGTGGGGAGAGAAGGCTTAGCTGGAGTCCAGGCCACAGCTGCCACTCCCTCAGCCTCAGGGGCAGTATCTTGTCAGCTGCTGCCCATCAGGTGGGCACCGCCTCTTGGTGACCCCATGTATGTTCATCGGTCAGTTTCTGACCAGCACATGTGATTCATACATCAAGTTCTCATAAGCTGAATTTTCAGCATCACAGCAACATGCAAGGCTCCATGGACAGATGGGTGGGGGACATAAGGTACACTGGCTGGGAATCAAACCCTGGCTATCCACATGGAATTCTATCCCTGAGCTGCCACTGAGACCCAAGACCCAAGGGAAAGAGCCTGCAAATTGCAAAGAGCGGCAGGCGTCCTCAGAAGCCCTAAGCCAGGGCAATGGGAGCACTCCCCTTTTCACAAAAGCAAAACAGGAGATGAAAAACCCAAGTTCAGGGGCCACCAGCACCACCTCCTCTCTGGGATTTGAAGCCCTGAGAAGCTGCAGACTCTCGACAGGTGGTCTGTAAGTGACCGATGGAGCGACGCCCCCTGAAGGACATTTCATGTCACATTTCCTCAGGTGATCATCACACAAGCTGGTGATATCAGTGTCACAGCCACGTTTCCTTAGACGTCAACATTACATTGTTGACAACGTTTAAATGACAAATGTTCTCATCCCAGAAGCCCCATTTTACAGACAAGGAAAATACAACTAAGAGAGATTTGGCTCACTGAATAAGCCTCATTTCTTTGCATAAAAAAAGGAAAAGGGTATTTGAAGAACAAACAAGATGGCGGATGGGGTGGACATGTAGTACAGAGCTCCACCAACAACAACACAGAATACCCGACCAAGCAGGCTCAGGGGATGGTCCCAGAACTCTGAACCACATGTAAAGGAATATTTAGAAGGTTGGAAGGCTTACAGCTGGGGGAATTTGTGGCAGAAACAAGAAATCTATTGCTTTCTAGTCCGGGACGCTCAGCTGCTACAGGAGCCGCCATCTTGGGTGAGACCACGCGGGGGAAGGATCGGAGCGGCCACAGACGCCTGGCAGAACCACTGAGATAAAGGTGTGGACATTCTTTTCTTTTGGTATCTGTTCATTGGTTCCTTGCTGTCTGCGCACCTCCATTCTGGTGACTATAGGGGTGCCTAAGCTAGTGGGCCCAGCCCCACCCTCGGAGGGTTCTACTACGCATGCACACAGATCTCCTCGAAATTTAAATAGACAGTTTCCAATTAAAACCAAATGGCCACAGCTGGCCCCGAACTGTTTCCAACTAGAAAAAAGGCCTGAATAGGGATTGTGGAGTGGGACAAGCAGACAAAAGAGGAAATAGGCCGAAAATTAAATCCTAAGTTACATCAAAATGACCAACAGTGGTATCTTGAAACTTCTCAGGAAGAAGAG